ATGTTTGACTGAAGGGTCACTAGTGGTATGACAAAATGGCTCAGGGGTACACAAGTCTAAAATGGTTGGGAACCACTGTTTTATACAACAGTATTTATTACTGGCAAGTACAACATGGATCGAATGCCATTGAAATATTAGGTACTGTTTACATGAGAAGGATCTCTGGAAATGTTTGTGTTCTTTCAATATTTATTTTGATAAATAAGAAAAAAATGGTTACATTTATCTGTAATTTCTGTCATTTTTCACTTGAAAATTATTTTATTTTCACTCAAACTGTACGTGGTGAGTGAGGTGGGCTTTCTTGCAGGTGTGAGGTTGTAAAGTGAGGCATGTCTTGCGATTGGTGAACATACGCAGAAAAGAAGGCTAAGAACGTAATTATCTTGTGTCTGGCAAAATTTATAGACATCAGTAGGATGTTGTGTAGAGCTTCCCTGCAGTTTGAAATACATTTACTGTAGTACAATCTACTGTATGTCTCCCTTAAAGAGCTATGTACAAAAGGTAAGATATTAAAATGTTTAAAAAACTTTCCACAAATCCTCACTTTAAAAAAAAGTGTAACTAAAAATGTTATTTTCAAATTTGTGGTGAAAAAAAGAAGCCAACACGAAGTTCTGACCAGGTAAAATTGAATATTTACTAAGAGTTGAACAATTCAGAACATAAGAAATTGTTAGTCAAGAAGACAAAAAACTCTGAAACATTTGTCGGTAACAAAACTCCAATTCAATTTTAATATATATATATTTTAAGTTTTGATCTGAAAAACAAGGACAGAAACAAACAATAGTCTCTAAGGTTTTGAAAGAAACCTGTCTTTACTTTACCAGGCCAGCAGAGGGCGTTCAGTGCTCATTTTATGGCACTGAAAAGGTGCTGATCATCATCAGATGCATCTCTTTTAGGACACAAACATAAACCACGTTCTTCCTCTTTTTACATGCATACACTACATATTTTACACTTTTATCTCCAAGACCTTTAAAGGTACGTGAAACACACTGGTTCATATAAAAGATTTTCTCATTGCGTGACAAAAAACAAAACAAAACTATTGTGGGATAAATAAATATTTTGCCTCATGTTTTAATTCTTACAAAGACGTGATCCGGTGCCGAAATTTCATTTAAATGTAAACTAAAAAGCATCAAAAGCAGCAGATGAAGATGTTCAGATGTAAGATTGAAAACATTTGGTGTGTTTTGTGAAAATAAAGAAAATCTCAGTAAGGTCACTGTTTATGCGAGTTAGCTTTTTGAGAAAACAGCATGCAGATGAGTCCAAAAAGCAAATATAAACTAGACTCCTAATGCCCTTTTAGTTTAGAATTATGACAGAACATACAGTAACATGAGCTGCTAATAAAAAAAGTAATTGTAAAAAAAATAAAATAAAAACAACAGGTTAACCAATCGCACAACTGCAGCAATCTGAAAAACGTTCAAAACAATGTTAGGACTGCTCGTTCTGGCTTTTTAGTTTACCGCAAAGTTCTAAATGATTCTCAAAAACTGGCCCCTCAGAATGAGACCAAACAACGGTTATGTGTATTTTTTTTTTAGTTTCAACTCACCAACTAGTCTCCAATAGCCTCAGCTCAGAGAGATGCCTTTAAACTGTCTTCACCACACATTCCTCACTTTCCACAAGGAACAACTGTCCATTTTCAGTGAAAAAAATGAAGACGCTGCATGAAGTCGGGGGCTGTAACTGTTTTTTTATGCTGCGTGCCATATTTGCATCGCAATTATGATCGGTTGAGATTTTACAGTTTTAGGATGAATCTTTTTTTTTTTTGGTACATTTTGAGTAAAGCGGATGTAATCGCAAAGAAAAGATGAGGACASTTACGTTGATATATTTACAAAATCAAGCTGAGATCTGGAGTTCATCGGCTGAAAAGTTAGTAGCAACTTAAGCCAATCAAGAAACTTTTTTAGTGCAAGAAACCTTGTTGACCCTGTCTCATCAAAAACTCTATAAGTTCAACCCAGACTGTTAAAGAAAATAGAAAAAAAAGACAATATATTGTTACTTTGTGGGTGGTTAGAATAAACAGCGACGACTGGTGAAGGCGCCGAGYGTTACAAATGTGATATCTATTTATTGTGCAAAACATCAAACTAATGAGCGTGACTGACATGGTGAAGGCATCTAACAGAAATGAAGACGAGTAAAAATCAGCATGCACTTCAGGGACTTGAGTCGTACGGTAAGGCAGCTGAACATCCGTCGCCTTCCCAGCCAGAAAGATCCACAAAACCACTGAACAAAGATGTTTGTTTGTCTTGTTTTTTGTGGGCGACTTGTCTCCGAGCAAAACGAGACCTGAAGATGTTAACGAGCATTTGGTGTTTTGGCAGTTTGGACTATTTAAGAGCCTTAGAGAGTTCTTTCACTTACAGGGTAAAAGGTTGATCAAATAAAATAAATGCTCAACGAAGACTCTGGAGTTTACCTTGTGTGCTACTCACACAAGTTTATTTTGTAGACCTTTGATTTTGACCTAAAATGTGATTTTTAATGCCGCCTGTGGTCAATTAAACTACGGCTCTGATGATCCAAACGGAAGCTGTGAGCAGCTTTAAAGGAGTTTTCAACAAGGATGGAGTGTTTCTGAAGCTTCATTTCTACATTAAGGCTACACAAYAAGTAACTTCAAATTAACTTCTTCTTAAAAAAAAAACAACAAAGCTCTTCTTTCTGTCCTTCCTCTCGCTCGTTACCATCAGTGTCCACTATCATGCACAGTTTGTCCCGATCATCAAAACATTCAAAAATCCATGAGCCGCAGAGACTTKGAGACGACATGCCACAGGGTACGAAACGCCAAAGGAGAACAAATGAAATTTGAGAGCTAACATAGCTTATAATCARTCTAAAGAAAAGGAAATAAAAACACTGATGAAACGATGTGAAGGCTGCCACTCTGTGGASAAATAAACCCATCGTTGCTTATCTTCGTGGTGGGAAACCCTCTTGCGTGGCCTGATTCCTTTTTGGTGGGGGGGCTTCACACTCTGAARCTCTCTCCCTTGCCGTCGATGTGGCGCAGGCGCAGGTAGACGTCCGTGCCGATGCCCTGCATGGACTGCACGGACAGAGACCCCCCGAGGTACTCGGCGTACGCCCTGGATGTAGGCAGGCCAAACCCAAAACTGTGGAGCGCAGAGAGGAATACAAATGGTGACGGTAAACAAATTTATGTCGGTGAAAAAAAAAAAATTAAAAAAACGAGCTGAAAGACAAGCCGCAGGTTCGGGGTGCATCTAAAACCAGGTGACGATCAGGCTGACAACCTCACCCGTGCATGGGGCTGGACTGATTCCCACTGTTGGTGATGGTGTTGAAGAGGTTGCTCATGCGGGGGTCCTGCGCGCTCTCCTCTGCCGTGCTGAAGTGGTAGTCCATCACTTTGTCGATTATATTATGAGGAATGCCGCCTCCACGGTCTGAAATCCTAAGATCAGAGAAAACAAACGGAGTCTGGTGTCAGCTGACTCGTGTCGCTACATTTTCTCCCACCACATCGGTCGCTGGAGCTCACCTAATCACAAAGTCAATGTCGTTGTTGGCGATGGTGACGACGACATCAGGAACGTTGTAGGGGGTGTCCAGATGGCTTTCCATGGTAGCTCTAAAGAGATGAAGTAAAAAGGTATATAACAAAAAACTAAACAAAACACAGAAAAGGATCTGAACTTCCGTCAACATGTTTGTGGTGTTGTACCTCATGGCGTTCTTCAGRAGCTCCGGCAGGATGTAATCCAGAGGCAGAGGGATGAAGGGGAATCGAGCCGCTACGTGTCCGTTGATCCTCACCCTCGGAGAGTTACCGTACTGGTGTTCACACAGACGTCTGTTGGGCACCAGGGGCATTAGTCGTCATGTACAAGTGTAAATACAATAACCGTTTTACTAACATGTGCGCTGAAAAATTAAACCATCCAGGAGTTTCCAGAGGCAAAGTTTAAATGTTAAAGTTTAAAGTGTATGGAGGGATCCTAATTGTTCAGAGGCTTTAGGAAACTTAACTAAAATTTAAAAAAGCAAAAAAWGGGTTTTCAATGACATCATGGAGCGACAGACAAGTTGTATCTTATTTTTCTTAGACGTATAAAAAGTTGTTTTTTATTTGAGTTTGACTAAACATCTTAAAAAGCAACAACTGGCTTGTCTTCTCTACCAAAAAGGAAGCATAGAATACAAAATAATATCTTAGCTAATGAGCAGCCTATTAATTCATATTTTATTTCATTTTCACAGATTTTACATTTATAAATAAATCTACTGCCAATTAAAACTCACCTGGCGAAGTCCACCCACTTTTCTACGATCTTTTTAGGAGACAGACGTCTGCATATGATCCCAATGAAATCAGGCTGAAACAAAAAAACACAAACAAATCACGTTTTTTTTTCCCACAGATGTGGTTCTTAGATAATCCAGAACATCTAGTAATATAAACTCAGCAGCCATAAAAGATTTGATTAGAAAATGTGACAATTTAGATTACTCCGATAATAATGAAGCTTTTCCTCCAGWTGCTATATGTTGCTCTTTGAATACCCAGCAGTTTAAATCATGGGATTATCAGACTTACATTATCTTCATGCAGGGCGAGATGGTGTGTGGCCAACATACGGATTCCCAAACGAGAGCACAGCGTTGTATCCAGAAAGTTTCTGATAATGGTCTCGTCCTGGAAGAGCAAAAAAAAAGAAAGTTTATTTTAAAAGTTGATTAGCAGCTCCAACATATAATAATCTAATGGCAAAAGAGACCATCAATAATTAAAGACAACAACCTGGGAAGAAATAATAAATGAATCCTTCACAAGCAACCAAACTGGAAGCGCAGCTCTTGTGGTACCTGGATGTGCCGGCGACACTCCCTGAAGCCCTGGGCCAGCATGGTGACCACGTCTTTATGGTCATCCAGCAGCTGCTGCACCAGCTTACAGAAACGAGCCTCCGCTTCCTGGTCCTCGATCTGTCCAGACACATAAACGTCACGTTCAACCTGCAGATCCTGATTTTCCTGGAGCTCAGATATTTGTTACTGTTTAAAATGAGATCATAATTTGAAAACAGCATTTTTTTATTTACCCAAGCGTTTTTTTTTTGTCTAATGTGTTTGATGATTTGAAACTTGGGTGACAAAAAGGGAAAACAAACAAATCTGTAAGAGTAAATCAACCTTTCACAGCCATGTGCACCTACATTTGATTAATAAATGTTTACATTAAGAAATGACTCGGAGCTGAATTCTTCAACCAATCACAGAGCTGCTATTTTTAGGCCAATCAGAGATTTACCRGCAAATGTTCACGTTTCCTGTTTTGCCCCGAAATCAAAACCCCTCCCTGAGAAAGTCTGAAGTTGAACTTGTCAACCCGAGTCGGCCTGTCAGAGCTTGTCTGTGCACTACTTCCTGTTTGTGTGCAATGCTCACCTGAGGAAAGTCGCACAGCATGTGATACGCTCTGATGTACAATTCGTGCTGAGGGAAAAAAACACACACAAAAAAACAAAAAACAAAGGGCTTTAGTCAGGATAAATCTCTGGAACCATCTGTTCAAGCTGACAGTATCACACAACCAGACCCTCACCAGGCCCCCCGGCAACACTGGAACCTTTCCTCTGTGCGCCCCACAGAACAACCCTCTGCAATAAACTTTATTTGAAGTTTGAACAGCCTTTCTTTTTTATGAAAGGAGTTTTGTTTTATGCAATCGGCACAGAAAGCTCAGCGATGACAAAGGAGGAGGAATGTGGGTGAAAGTTCATCAGGAACAAAGCAGCAGTTGAGAAAAGCTTACCAGAAGAAACCAGCTGAGAGATATGCAGACTCAGCTATTATGTCACAATTTTTTTTTTTTTTTGGTTACAAGTTAAAATAAAGTTTGAACAGCTTATTTTGTAATGGCAGTTCGGACAACATGTCCCAACATTTGTACAAAAGCGAGTTTGGAGGAATTTTAAACAAACACGACTCAGAGAACAATGTGTTCCTGCTGATTTCATGGGAGAAAACTTAATTGCTCTTCTTCGTTTCAGACGGAAAAACTTTGCACTTCTAGTTGCTTCATTAGGCAGACAATAATAATAATCACAGCTAATGAAAGACAGCCTGGGCGTAGAGTTGAAGAAGGCTTTTTAGGCATGTCAGCTTCTCCTTTTCAGTAAAAAAGGAAATAAAATTTAACAAAACAAAACTTCTGAGAAATGACCAAAGTGAGACCAGCTGTGAACTTATTCACACTCATCGAAAACAAACAGCATCAATTCAGAGACTTGTTCAGGTAAATCCAGGAGATAAATACAAAGTCGTTCACTCCCGTTGTTTGAGCGACACTCAATCCTCCCTAAGGTGAACAAAAGCAGCGGGAGAAACCTTTTGGATGGGACAAAATATTCAGCTCGCTCCAGCTAGAACTGAGCTTTTGTTTACGGTGAGAAAAGTACAGCTGATATTTTACCCAAGTCAACGAAATGTGCTGTTTATTGTTTTCATCTCTCATCAGGAGGAACTGAAACGTTACGCCCACACGGATAGGGCTGCCACGATTAATCGACGACTAATCCATTATTAAAATAATCGATGACTAATTTAATAATCGATTAATCGTTTTCTTTTTTTTTTTTTTTGTTCTTTACTTTGTTTTTCTCTCCAAACTGCTTTGACACCTTCGACTGCCACATCTGCCTTTCTGTCCTTGACACACATGCACAGTAGTGGTAACTGGGGTAGGCTGTGGACGTTATAAGACATTATACAGACAGGCTCTGGTATCATGGCTACCCAGCAACAGAGCTCAAAGTGTGGGATCATTTTAAGAAAATGAAAGAGAAACCTGTGCAATATCTGCAGAGCAGAACTTACCTTCCACAGCAATTATTTTTAGTTAGCATATAGCTAAAATCTAACCATGGTTATATAATAGCAGCTGCATTCTTGTGCGATAAGTTTTATGTTTTATATTCAATTAACGTATGATCTGATTAGTCGACTAATCGAAAAAATAATCGGTGATTAATCGATTATAAAAATAATCGTTTGTGGCAGCCCTACACACGGACACACCAACTTCTACTCTTTTTAATCAAAACCTCAGCAGTAACTTTTGTAACGTAGAAACTTTTTACTCAAGCAGAATTAAACATTATTTTTGGCACAGAATTAGAAGAGTTTGTTTAAGATAAGATAAGATAAGATAAGATAAGATAAGATAAGATAAGATAAGATAAGCCTTTATTTTCATTGTACAGAGCACAATGAAATTACAGTTCAGAACATCCATTCAGAAGAAGACAGAACATAACAAACATAGGAGAACAGGTGCCCTGGGTCGTGCAGCCACAGACCCTGCACAGAGCAAGGATCATCTTCATAAAGACATCATGAGGCGGTGCAACCCTTAACAGAAAAACTAAAAACCATACAAGGATAGATGAGGAAAAAAAACAAAACATCATATTATATCAACAATGTGACACACTATGGTGTTTATAAAAAAAAAACCTCTGCATACATATAAAATTGTGTACATTTTTTATGATTTTCTTTTTAAAATATATATAAAATTATTAGTAATCAATTATTATATTTTTATTTACTGCCTCTTTCCAACTTTTTGGAGAAAAATGGTTGGAAATCTTCTTTCCTGCTTCCATATTCTGGAAATTCAGACTGAAGCTCAGAACGTTTGAGGAGTTTTGTCCTTACCACTTGCAGAATAGTGGGGTTGCAACCAATAATGAAGGGCAAACTGCGGAAGCCCTTGATGCGGTGGGCGATTCGCACAGGCAGCTCCTTGTGAAGGTACTTGGCACTGCTCTGAGATCACACACACACACAAACACACACACACGGGGAGAGAGAGAGTGAGATCCACGTGAGTAGAGAGTCTCTGCAGCCAGGTTGTTTTAACACGCACTCTGCAGAACTCAAGAGCAGAGAAAATGTTTACCAAGATGTGGTGTCCCTCTGGAGATTTCCCAGAATACAGGAGGGTTGCTAAGGTTAGTCGCACTGAGGCCTGGAAACACAAAGACAAGCAAAGTCACGTACACAACCACAGCAGCAATGTAAGGATGTGGAAAAATCAGAGAAAAAAAACTATTTTGTGCTTCTTTAAAAAAATGAGACAATTAGTATTGCTTAAATTGCTTTTTGTTTTCTTTTATTTAACTTAGTACGTTGTGAATTTAGTAAAGTATATCTAAGTTTAATTTAATTTTTAAAAAAGGGCACAAGAAGTTAAATGTTTAATCACAAACATCAAACTAATAACTTTAAATATGGTGAATCTTTTAGAGCTTTTATAAGCATATTTACAAATTAATCATAAGGTTTTGAGTGTAAAATGTTTTATATTAATAAAAAGAAATTAAATGGCATTAGTTAACGATGTGACAAAATTCAGCCAATTATCATAACCAAACCTCACAGATTCACACAGGTGTCAAAATCCAGCCATAGGACTGTAAAAAGAACCCAATCAAATTATCTGGACCATAGCACACACAATGACCGGATAAAATTACATATCTGAGAACCGTGACGCCGACAAAACCATGTTGTGCAACACGATTTGCAACACAGACATCGACACGTCACTGTGTTAAAGTAAATCTTTACAAAAGCTTTTAACAGTCTGTGGGTTAAAAGAAGAAAACAAACCTGATCACCTCCGTTTGCCTGCCTGACTGATTGAATCTCATTTCAAGACCAACTATAAATGAGCTCTAGCATGCACAAGTCAAACAAGCATTTATTTTATGAGATGTAGCCGTCCCAAGAAAAAGCTGTGAAAAGTTTCAGGCAGGAGCAGAACAGGGAGAGGCTTCTGTCTGTGTGAAACCTGTCAAATGAGTCATAAAGTAGGTTAAATGTAGTCATCTAATCTTCCAAGTTGAAATAGTCGTGTGTAATTTGGTGCCGAATCCAGGTTTTATTTAACATGTGATTTTGTCATTTTTCAAAGCACATATCGCAGAAGGAYAATATAATAGTTATCTGACTAAACTCTACAAACTGTAAATTTYCCATGTTTTAATTTGCAGTGAAGTAAAACTGACCATTTTGGACCGAAGCCATACATGAGGAGAGTGTTACAGAAGGGGTCACTCAAGTTTCTGTCAGGAACAAAAGCTTTTGAGTTTGCCAAGAGAAACTCTGTAATGGTGGAAAACTTGTTAATAGGTACTCAATGCATAGTCATGAAGACAGAGAGAGAAAAAAGAGCAAGAAACATAAACTGTGCTGTATTTTTCTCATTCAAGATATATTTGCGATTGGCTGCCAGCTACCATGCCAGAGAGTTCACCTTGGGAAAAAGCAAAGGTCCTAAACTTAATGACCTAACAAAAGTTTTGAAAAAGGCCACGTGTTTGAATGCTGACCTCTGGCTTTATGGCACCCCACCCAAACTACTTCTGCTTGATCCTACTCTTGTCTTGTTCGGCCATTTTTGTTTACCAACACAGCCCAGCCTAATGTAGGTCAAACACGTGACTGACTGCATAGTTTATGGCAGATTCAGCCAAGTACTTTGTTTACATTGACTGTGGGCTCGCATTTTAGAATTGTATTCAATAGATCTACAAAACTACTGGATTAAACTCTTTCAAACTTCAGAATTTAATGTATTCCATGCTAAACTTATGTTTCATTTCATATTTTGCACKTTCAAATCAAATGGATAGCCGGGGCTACTCCTTTATGATGTCTGTAAGCAATTTGTCCTCATGTCAACAGATCTAAACACTAATTTTACAGTTTATCATTAATCAGGGTAGTAATATTACTATAGTTCATAATAGTTCCATGTTGCTAGTTGTTATGACGAACAAATGAGTTGTAAATTTATTTTAATAGATGCTCTGCTAAATACATTTTGTTCTTCCTACGTTGCATTCAGGGATCTGAGCACAGTAAGAAAAAATGAACTCCCCGTGACTTTGATGGAAGTACATACGTATCAACTGCATGCATGCAATTAAAGTAAGCCCAAAGTTGACACATTTGATCATTTTCATCTTTAAATTTGAAATATTTTAATACTTAAACAATTAGAATTCMTTGTTGTAACACATTTATTTTGTATGGGAAAAGAAGACTAAATTAATCTTTTCACTTAGCTTAGGAGTTGTAAATAACCGAATGTCCTTAGCATTAATTGAACGAGGAATAGAGGACGTACACATTTACGGCAATTTCTCAGTCCCTGAACGCAACACCCACTATGCTAACCACTAGCATTGCCATCAAGCTTCAGCTAGCACTCCCTCTTAGCCACAGATGCATCATCATCTTCTGGGGGGAAACGCCGGCACAAAAGCCAAATTCTTACCTTTTCCGCTGACACATCTATTGCAGACTGGTTATAAAATGAAGTGACAGTCTTCGACCGCTCTCTTGCTAGCTCCGAAAACCCCTGCGCCGATGATGTGGACCGGAATCTGCGGTGCCCGGTGCCTGACATCTGCGGCAATGTTTTGGTTGTGGGGGCCAGTAAGAAGCTACTGAGCCTCGGCCTGGCCCTGCTGGTGACACCGCTCAGCATCTCCACCGCTATACCCGCCAGTCCCGGACGCATCTGGAGCCGAGCAGTGAGCGCGAACAGGGCTGCCCTGTTCTCGTAAAATCACAAAACTCTTTGGCAAGTTATGAGGCCATCGAGGTCGTCGTCTCGACCTAGTGCACAAAGGCACTGAGTACCACAGTAAGGAGAGGGTACAGAAAGGCCTTGGCTCCTATTGGCCAGCGGGATAAGATCTTAGTTAGCGACACGAACGCTAAGCCAATCGACTTCGTCGAGAGGCGGGGTCAAGAAGAAACCACACCCCTTACATGAACACACGGCACGTACTGTACTTTTCAGCAGCACCGACGCTTAATTGTTCCTTTCTGTGGAATTATAACAATGCCATAAGAAATAATAAATTTTAAACTCAAATTTGTAGAATGTAAAGATAAATGGAAAATATATGGATTTTTAAACTATGCATTTCAAGTCAAAATTTTAGATTTTTTCTTTCATTTTTTTTGACAGTTTTAGAGTAGGCTAACCAAAATGGACAGGATTAGGATTGACTTAGAGTCTAGTTTGTAAGTAACTCAAAATTGAAAGAATATAGGTGAATATTCACATGCAGTCTCACTCAGCTGTGTTTAAATTGTATCAAGGTTTTGCACAAATAATTTTTGGAAAAATTCAGTATATTTGTGTGTGAGGCTTGCAAAACTGTACCCTAAATTAAGGACATTATTTTTTCCCACTTCTACCTACATTGTATTCGCAAACATAGATTCCACCACTAGAAATTGTATTTTTTTTCTCTAGAATAATGTAATTATACAATTTTAAGGAACACACCGTTATGCATTAATAGAAAGATTACAATTTTGAGCTGCCATTTACACAAAAATAGGCCACAGTGTTAACTAAGACAGGCTAATACAAAACTTCTTTCTAATCCAGTTAACCAGCTTTAAAAAAAAAAAAGAAGTTAATGATCTATGCTGGGTAAAACCATTTTCGGCAGCGTTCTCGTGCCATTTAAAAATGACATGTAGGCAAAATTAAAAACCACTGTAAGCACTGCAGAACACGTCGTTTTGGCCTCATAGTAAAGACATTTTATCTGACAAAGAACTCACAAAAAATGTAAAATAAGGGAAACTACAACTTTATTTTGCTATCCACTGAACAATGATTGCTACCCATACAGTACCATAGTACTATAAATATCTAGATTTAAACAAAGTTGTTTTGATCATTTTCACAGAGCTGTATCACAGTGACAACGGATGTTTCTTTTTTAATCACAATATACCACAACCCCTGCTGGCAACATTATCATTTAACATTTTAAAAGAATGTAATAAGAAGAGTTTTATGTTAAATTTGACATATTTTACATTTATGTAATAATAATAAAAACATTTTTGTTATATTTGTCTTGCTTTGATGCCATTAGACATACTGATGATTCACATCAGAGGCAGCATCATTATTTTTAACCAATTACAACAAATCAAACTAAAAGATTGCTAGTCTGAGCAAAATATTTACATTACTATGTATTCATGTACCATTTAAAATGTGAATAAAAACATCACATTTTCAACATGTTACCTTAATAAATACCTAATTTTGGTAACTTTTCTGAAAACAGTCATATTTACTAGAACATTCGGCCCACGTTCCTCAGGACGACTCCTCTCTCCTCCATATGATCACCAGATTTTTATCACTTAAGGCAACCAGGTAGAGCAGCTCTGAGTCCATTGCTACACTGTTGATAGACGGACCCTCCATCTGACCGAGGCCTTTCCTCATCGGGGACGGCCACTCCAACACCTGACGAAACAAACAATTAAAAGGTGGCATTTAATAAGTTTGAGGTTGAATTTGTTGCTTCGTGCAAAACTGAATGCTAAAAACACACAAAGTTCTAAGAATAAACTGTGTAGATGGAAAACAAGTTCAGTTTATTACTAAAGCCTGCTGGGAATGCTGCATTGTGGAAAAAAATGAACATAATTAATTATCCCCTTGGAGAAATTTGTTGAAATATGACTGATAATCAGATTTTTTTTCCCTACACTAATTCGAAGTTGTACTAAATGTGACACCAAATGTCCATAAACATCCCAGTGATATAAATAAAACCCAGCACACACAGCTGAGACAAAAACCACAGTATAAAAACACGAGGTGTTTCCAGTGGATGGTATTTTAACAGTTCACTGTTTGGCTCGTCTGGAGGTTTGTTTACATCCAGGCTGTTTAGAGACATCCACCATCTGGCTGTTTTGCAGTAAAAGCCACAGAGTTCTCAGATTTCCATGTTCCTGGAAGCTGCAGGTCTAATTACACAACCAGGCAAATGCTTGTGGCTTTTATAGAATAATATTTTACAGAGGCAGAGCTTTGAAGAAATATAACAAAAATATTTAGGAGAAATAAATACCTCAGTGGGTGGAATGGGTTTCTCTTTCTGACAACTGGTTGTCTGGATGTTGGGGACGTGATGTGTCCATATTCTCCCTTCGTTGTCCCCACACACCACATAGGCTCGATCTAAAGATATACACAGGATAAAGCAGCAGTTAGCCTAATTAGCCCAGAGGATGTATTTTTTATGATCTGTATTAAATTGAAAGAACACTTAAAAGCATTTTTATTATGGAAAAATCCAAACACAATACAAACAACATGGGACTCACCGGGACAGGTGTTCAGAGCCAGGTAGGGAATCTCGGTGTTGGCCCACTGCAGCTCAGCCAGGACCACGGCACACACTGCCCCACCCCTCTTGTCGGGGCGCTGAGACCTGGTCCTGCTCCAGCTCCACAGGTAAATGAAACCGTGCATGTGGCTCTTAGAGGCTAACACAAACGACACGCAAAAGGCAGAAATTCAACTCACATTTCATTCATCCCTTTAATGGACTGGTGATCTTTGAGTTTGAACTCAGAAACCTAAACCAGCTGGTGATTTAAAATGATCWTCTATAGCTTTGAGGACAGAAAGCTTCCTACAGCGCCATCATGTGAACTCTTACTAAAACTACTTCTGATTCAGACAAATCAAACTGTCTGGACAATGAAAGTCTGGGAAGGCAAAGGCAACAATTACAATATTTTTCTGACTCACTGTTACCAGTTCGGTTACTTTTACTGAGCTTGTAGAACTAGACTGCAGCAGACTGAGGCACAATAAAAGATCTTTACTTACCCACGATGTCGTCAGTAAGAAAACTCAGGCCGTCAATGGTGTGGTAGTCATGGTCGTCATCCTCCTCTTCATAAATGGGAAAGGTTATCTCCATTTCTTTTGACCTACTGAGGAAACAATAAATGTTGTACTCGGTGACACTCAACCAGTAAGAAGAGTTTGCTCACACTCTGAATGTTTTACCTCTTTGTGGTGCTGTTGGTACTGAGCTGCGTGTTGTAGCAGTGCAGACCCCTCTCACAGGCACTCAGGAGTTGTGTGCTGGGGGACGTCGGGGGCAGACAGATGTGCAGAGGTGTCGTGCTGACTTCCAACACCAGCAGCTGACTGAAAGGACCGAGCAGGTGAAGTTTTAAAGAAATGCACAAACGTAAACAAAATAATAAAATGTATTGACAAAAAGGATGTAAATCTGTTTAACGGATCCTTGATTATTGTAACATTACACTTTATTTGATAAACATACATTTTAACTGTAAAAATACTGTAGGCTGTTTAGTTTTGTAAAATTTTAAAAATTTATTTTAACACAGATGGAGCCATTTTATTTACACACAAAGCATTCTGGGTAAATGATGAYGTGGATAGGTCCTCGGTGCGAGGCTGCTAGCGAGCTATATCCACCCTGAAGGTTAATCTTGGACAATATCTGATGATCGACTCTTTTAAATGAAACCAGAGAGCGTTGACAGAGAGGAGAAGGTAGAAATGACTCAGCCTGGAACTGAAAATATGGATGGAGGACAACAGAGCTGCTTCATGGAAGTAGAACCTCAGCTTAGCCTGTTAGCTTTAGCGCCGACGCTATATCGCATTATATGTATTAGCTCGGTGCTAACGCGACAAACAAGCTAAACTGAGGTCCTCCATCCATATTTTCAGTTGCAGGCTGAGTCATTTTTGTGTTCCCCTCTCTGTCATGTGGATGGAGGACCTCAGTGACGAGAGGAGAATGTGTAGCGCTGAGCTAATACATATATATGGTGATAGCGTCAGGGCTAATGCTAAAGCTAACAGGTTAAGCTGAGGTTCTTCTTCCATGAAGCAGCTCTGTTGTCCTCCATCCATATTTTCAGTTACAGGCTGAGTCATTTCTACCTTCTCCTCTCTGTCAACGCTCTCTGGTTTCATTTAAAAGAGTCGATCATCAGATATTGTCCAAGATTAACCTTCAGGGTGGATATAGCTCACTAGCAGCCTCACACCGAGGACCTATCCACGTCATCGTTTACCCAGAATGCTTTGTGTGTAAATAAAATGGCTCAAACTGTGTAAAATATTTTTTAAAATTTAGTTTAAAAATTATAAAAACTAAACAGCCTACAGCATTTTTACAGTCGTTATTTCACAGTTAAATGTTTACAAAATAAAGTCTAATGTTTAACTAATCCTGGATCCCTTTAAAATTTTGATCTTTCCTGATTATTCRTTTTGGTTTTATACAGTTATTTTTAGTTTTCTCATTTTTTGTCAAAGATTAAACTTTATTTATCCTAGTACTGAACCTGTGACAAGTGAATAAAGCCAAAAAAGTACTTTTTGCATTTTTTAAATTGGGAATGACAAAAAAATATTTACTGTTAAAAATAAACGTGATTATTTTTTTCAGAAACTTACACAACTTTGAAGTTATAACTGCTGTCCACTCCGCCGATATCCCACAACATTATCTTGTTGTCGTAGGATCCAGCTGCAAGAGACCATTCAGTAAAGTTCATCGAGACATTKTCTATAAAACTGAGCGTGATGAAGGAAACTGAAGTGGAAGATTAAAACAGACATGGTGGATATAACATCGTCCACACGTCTTTAACAACAAAATAAACAAATAAAATAAAACTTGTGGCTCTGGGTACATCTGAACTTATCTGCCCAAAGCTGCAAAAAATATTTTTACGTTTCTAATGTAAGACGTCCTGAACGACAGCCTKTAAAACGATATAAGCTTGTGTGATTTAAACTCACTGAACAGAAAGTTTCCCTGTTGGTGGTTGAAGCGGAGGGCAGACAGAGACTTCCTGCTGGCTCGGAACTCGCCGTACGCCACGTTGTTCCTGGGATGAATCAGTTTGACGAGTCCTCTCCTCCCGCCGGCAGCGAGAATGCTGCAGAGCTGAGCTGGTGCCTTCTCTCCTCTGGACATCAGCACTGTGGACCAGGCCAGGGAGAAGAACTCCTGATGTGAGAAACRACGGACAACTTAGGCTCCCTGCAGCTTAATCTAATCCGTTTTTAACCAACATGTCAGCTGTTGTCAAYGTTAAAGGAAACTAGTCGTACTTCTCCAGGAACTTTGTACTTCTTCATCACCACCCCAGTTTCACAGTCGATCACACACAGAGAGTCTCCTCCGCATGTAGCCACCAAGCGGCTTTCCCCGCCGTCTCCTGTCGTAGCAAGAACAAACGTTCACTTTACTTGAATCGTTGAGGCCACGTCTGATCGTGGATGAGCATGAGTGAACACGAGGCGTTCATCGGTACCAGAGAACTCTGAACACGGCTGGAAGGCGCAGGCCCACAGCTGGGTGGAGAAGTCCTCTGAGCTGTCGTATTTACTGTGACACTGCAGCACGTGCAGCGGCTGCAGACGCACCGGCTGCTGCAGGAGACAAACGAGGAAAATCAAGAAGGGAGAGAACGGTGAGAGCAGGCTTTGAAAACAGATTTTAAAATTAATAAAATAGCAAAAAAAAAAAAAGGCATGAGCATGGTAAAAAGCATATTGTTGCTAATCTTCTTAGTATAGCCATGTGGTGAGTCAACTTTAAACTAATAACAGCACATTACATATAACTAGGAACGCCATTTATACCATTTTGTATATTTTAAACAATTGTCAACCAGTTTTTTTTATGTCAGATAGTATTTTGTGGTTTAGAAATATCAGCAGGTTAAGTATTATTTTTATACTTTACCTGAGTTTTGTTTAAAGTCTTTGTTATGGGCAGCACGTGAGCGTTCCTGCCTTTGCTTGAATCTTTCCTCCGTTCTACTGGAGTTTTCTCCTCTTTAGTTTGAGGAACTTTCAGACTTCTCCTGGGCGTCTCTGCCTTCGGCTGGGTTTTGGGGGGAGTGGACAGAGCTCTGTCTGTCCTGAGGGGGCTGATGCTGGTCTGAGTTTCACTCTGACGTTTTGGACGAAGGCTGATTTTGAGAGGGCTGTTTTGCACGGGAGAGGCTGGAAGATCGGAGCGCAACTGTTTGCGAGGCATCAGGTTTATGCCGGAAGCCGCTTCAGTCCGCTTCCTTTTGGAAGGTGTAGAGACATCCTGAAGACAACAAATACAAACAAAAAAAACTTTAAAACAATTTAGATCTATAATATTTCATCAGAACTTCACAGAATTTACACAAAATATGAGGAACTATTTCAAATTCAAATATACTTTATTGATCCCAGAGGGAAATTAGATGCTGTTGTTGCACAGCTTTATTAGAGCTATTAATATTATTATTAGCATATTATTGAATATGTTGCATTAAGCAGGAATATGAAAGTGGAATGAAGGTATACARATGATACCTATGAATAGGAGAAAATTTTTTTTGAAGTTGCTGGAGAAGTGGTGGATTTTAATAAGTTTGTACTTCTACCCACTCCTTTGAACATTTATTTTTTTATTGTATTGTTTTAATTTTATTTGTAATGTGGTGCGTTCAATAAAATAGATAGATAGATAGATAGATAGATAGATGATAGATAGATAGATGATAGATAGATAGATGATAGATAGATAGATGATAGATGATAGATAGATGATAGATGATAGATAGATGATAGATAGATGATAGATAGATAGATAGATAGATAGATAGATAGATAGATAGATAGATAGATAGATAGATATAGAT